AAGATATTTTAAATGTTTTGAATTTCGAAAATTTATTATACAACTAGATATGAAAATAGTTTATTGGACACTAATAGAATCATTGAGTAAATAAGACTCTCGAAGTTATATCAAGTGGGATCTCTAGTCAAGCTGTTCACACAAAATAAAAAGAGTGTCGATTAATTTTTGCCAATTTTTCATTTCAATTATTTCGAAATGAAGTAAGTTCCAAGATCGATTAAATTCGTCTTTTTTTTTTGGATGTTATTTACTCAAAAACGGAATATGACGAAAGAAAATAGTAATGTTTCAATCTCGATACTTTCACTTCGTGCTTTTAGAATCGCCCACAACTACATTCACATCACATTAAAAATCAGTATATTTATTACAATTAGAATATTTTCTTCGTGTAAAAGAATTATATATTTGTGTATTATTTCTTAAGTTTATATGTTCTTAGTGAAGAGAATTAAAATTTTGATATATTCTTTTGTTTGTTCATAAAAAATAATTTCAAATATTCATTACGGATATTTATATAAACAAAATCATTATTATATACATTACTATTTAGATAAAATGAAAAATGTAAAAATTCTTTTGCTTACTTAATTAAACAAATATGTAAGGATGTGTTCTGTCTCTTATGTAACTAAAAAAAATTTATTTCATTGTTTTGTATCTAATAGAAAATGTATGTTGTGTGAATTTAATTTTTGTCTATATCCACACCTATATGAGTGTTATAATAACTAATGTTTGTTACATTGAAGAATTTTTTCTTTTTTTTTTTGTTCTTAGTTAGTCCTTTCTTTAATACTTTTAATATAATACGTAAGTATCACGACATATATTTATACTTATGACAATCTTTCTTTTTAAACTGTTGAGAAAGTGTAAGAAGAGAAAAATGCATACCTCTATGCTGAATACTTTTCTTTTTGCTATTCTATTTAAATGTTGAAGTTGCTGCTCATTCTTACTTTGTTTTACTACTGTAAAACTAATCCATTATCCTAACTTATAGTCTAATATCTTCATATTGATTTACTCTTAAAGATATTTTTATTTTACATGTAGATATTAGTACATGAAGAACACAGGTATATATTTTAATATCAGATTGTTTTCTTTTTTTCTTTTGATCTATTGTTCGTAGTTTTATAACAAATAAGACATAGATGAAAGAATGTTTATCCTAATGTATTTAACATGTATAAAGTCTAGATGAGACTATATATGCGAATAGCCCTTGTTTTTTTTTTTTGCTCGGTGTTATTGTAAAGTGTCAAGGACTGACTCTTTATATGCTTAAGGCATGGCCAAGTGAAGGCTAAATCAGCGAATGAATTTTTTTTTCTCTTCTTAAGAATGATAAGCTCGAGATAATCATAGAATAGAAACTAGACAAAGTTTGTTATTTCCGAATAAGAGACTAGACCGAAGAACACTGAAAGAAAAAAATCCATGATGAAAAGGAAGCAAAAAAAAAAGGAAAAAGAAGGAAGAGACGATGTAGAGAGTTTTCTCCGTTCGACAACTAGTCATTCATTTCTTGAGTTGATGAGACTTGAAAATTCTTTCCCGATGTGTCGTTCTCAACAATCCGATACTCGTTTTCTTCTCTTTTTTTTTTTTTTATTGTTTTGTCGCATGTAAACGATACATATATAATAATGTCGATAATCGTACGATTATGGCTTCGTATTCAAATAAAACTTTTTTCTTTTTATCGATACATTCGTTATTCGTTCAATATAAGAAACCTATTCAATAAAAAGAAAATATTTACTCATGTATTAATTTCTTTCGTTAATTATTTCGAAAAGATGAAAGAAAAATTATCATTATTATTAAGTAACAATCGATACATTCAGAAGATTAGTCCTAAAGAAATATATTATCATTTTATATGATAGAATTTCTTTTTATCTTGTCACATTTTTGTTCGTAGTTGATAGAATAAAAAAAAAGAAATTTCTAGTTAATAAAATCTAAATAATAAACTTTAGATATGACATTTTATAGAGTTTCATCTTTGCTTTTTTTTTTTGAAATAAATAAATATAAATAGTAGAGTTTAGAATAATAGTAGTTACTTATTTAATTACCGAATGACTTCTGTTTTGTCAAATGAATCTTATTTAAACTTGTTCTAGTTTCATTGACTTCTCATATCGAATTCATTATTCTTTTACATATATAATTATATACTCTAGTCGTTTGAATATGTAACTATTGTCGTTTTGTTTTCTTGTCTTTTCATCTTTTATATATATATATGTAAAACTGACTTTGCTTCACTATAAAGAGCATAGTTAATATTAGAATAGTGTTAATGACAAGTAATAGATCGATGATGGAATGAGTAAGCTTTACATTTTTTAGTCCTACGAAGGTGCATGATGTATGGTTGATTCCGATCGGAAGTATCTGAAAAAAGAAAACTACAAGGTTCAAAGTATAAACTTAATACTCAGATTTTGTGATAGGAAATTTATGAACGCAAGTGCATTTATTATTAACATAGTTAATAAAGAAATAATCGCGTGACAATAAGTACGATTCATGTTTCGTGATCTATTTTTATTGACTTATCATTCACGAATACTTGACATCATTATCTTGAATATAACAAATTAATAATTATCAAAAGATGAACATCATACATCAAAGTCTAAATTAAATCTATATTCTCTTTGAAATCATAGATAACAAAAAAAAAGATTTAATCATATAAAGTTTATTTTTCATAAACTATTACATTTTAATTTTACTATCAAGTAAATTTTAATATTTTTCGTTTCATTCTTCTTCATATATATACAATGTCAATGTTAGAAGTATCGTCGTTTTCTTTCTGTTAATTTAACTGCATAGTTCAATTCACTTGTAGACTCTATTGTCTGATTGAATTGTATTGTATTCATAGTTTCTTTCTTCTTTTTTTTTTTTTTTTCATATTCTCAATTGAATTTATTGTTCTCTTATGTTTAGAATAAATAATACAAAAATTCAATAAATAATGCATATCAATCGATAATTAATAATGAAACGCCCGACGAATATTGTCGGGCAACAGCCAACTTTATGGCTTTTATTCATTTTACGTTTACGAAAATGTTTTAAATTACGATATTTATTAATTTTATTTATTCTTTTTATTCTTTTAATATATTTACATCTTATAAATGATACTTATTCTAATCAATTAATAATTAATGAATCTGAATCTATTATAGAAGAAGAAGAAGAA